ATTCTTTCTTTTAACCATAAGCTGTAAAGGAAATGCCAAGCTAATAATCTGTTTATGTGCACTTCATGCAATCATTTAGATTTCCACATCTTCTTTTGCCCATAAAGTGTGATGGTATTCATATATTAGTGTGCTCATTTGTCCGGGTAAGCTCTGCACAAACAAAGTCTGGTGCTAGAGCCCACGCTCACACTGTGGGCACTCTGTGGGTCAGTGTACTCCAACCTTTTTGTGGGTGGTGGTAGAGGCTTTGACTGCATCTTTGTTGGTGTTTGCAGCTTGAGAAGAGAAGGTGTCTCATTTTCAATTCCTTCTTTCTAATAATTGAAAGCATTGGCATGTTATTTGACACCATGTTATTTGACACCTTGTCATTCCTGCAGGAGGATTGTTAGGCAGCGTGTGTCAGTGTAACTCACAGTTAGATCTTCTGAAGTCACATTACTGTGCCGAGAGCTTTTTTGCTCAATTGCAGAACGTAATGTGAAGATAATCTATTTTAGTGGATTCCTGCCTTGTTTTCCCCTAACAATAGCAATTTAATGAACAGTCCAAAGCACCACAGAAAAGACTGAGATGTGCCATTAAGAAAATTAAAAGAATGATGACAGTTTTCTGTCAATGCTGGAGGACAGTTTTAATGTTGCATGTCACGTTGTACGGTGAGAAAAGAATGCTTACAGGGCTCTTTTCTAAACCTGAAGCTTTCCAACTTCTTGTGACAAAAAAAGAAATCTGACAGGTTCAACTGTATCTTGCACATTGAACAGTTGCCATTTTGCCTAAAGAAATAACCTTCTAACTTAAACAAGAAATGCTGGTGAGGAAAAAAAAAAAAAGGTTGACTTTTTGAACAAATTCCAGTCTGCTTATGCCACAACCTGGCAGTTAAGGTGTGGAAGTCGAACAAAAGCTCCCAACTGTGACAGCTGTAATTCACTGTTACGTCGTTGATTTATTGTTTATCCCAGCTAATACTAGTCGCCTCAATTATGTCAAACTAACAGGGTATGAATGACAGTCCAAAATGCAGCACGAAGGCCTCCGATGATGGTTATTCTAGTTCAGCTGCCTACACCGGACATCTTGTCTGGAGAGGAAAGTGTAACATATAGAACACCACAATTAACACGTAGGGGAAATGTGGAAAAAATATTGACCAAGTATTTTAAGACAATAATTATTTTTATTTCTAATAAACTAAGTTGACGCTGCATTTGCACAAAATGGCAACTCAGACTTCAAATGGTGTCCAGATTTTGTGGTGTTGAAGAAATTAAAGGAAGGGTGAATATTGAAAAAAAAGTTACTTTTGGCAATGGGAGTATTAAGGTAAAACTTTTGGGTTGTTTGTAAGGTATTGCATTATAGGTGTATTAATGTTTTGTGTTTAGCCAATGGCCGATGATCCAGCAGGCCATTGGTCAATTGGTCATGTTTAACCGTTAAGTCGGCATAACATCATCCAGCTCTGCTGAGCTGAGTCAGCAAATGAGGAGTTGTTGTCGGAGGGTCCTGCTGTTTTGTTTTTGTTTGTTTTTCTTTAGGGTTGTTGTTCTCATCTTTTAGTGAGTGATTTGCTGTTGGCTCTGGTTGTTGCACTGCAGATCACAGCCAGCAACAGTAATGAGGAACAAAGCGTTGTGCTTTTCCGTGTCATTAGGGGGATTTTCTAGCTCTGCTCTTCCGGCTACACCAGAAATACCAACAGAGCTAAGTTTTCTGACTCTCATCTGTCACCTCTGTAACTGGGATGCTATCTGCTGAGATGAGCAGCCCCACTCAGCCAGCTGGCAGTCCCCTTCGGATTCCCAAGAGCAGATTTCAAAGCAGGCGCTATTAGAATCGACTGGACGTTTCGTCATAGATGGTCTTGGCTTCGTTATTTTCATTTAGATGGTGCAGAGCGGACTAAAAGTAAATGTTTGGAAAGAGGGCCTGAGATCTGGACCACTTTTGGTCAAACGCTGGACTCCAGTGCCAGGCTGTTAGCTCACCCCCACATATTATTTACTCTAAAAGGTTACATAACTGACGGAAAAACATACCCAAACCTTATACTTTGATTATAAAGACCTTTATTACAGAATCTAAACCAGGGCCTTTTTTCCTTGGTATTTCCAAGCACCTCCAGTGGTTTTTGTCTATTTTCATGTGTTCTCTCTGTTTGTTTGTGTATTTCCTGAATTCAGAATGGGTTTCCTGTATGTTTGTGCCGTCATCACTCTTGTACGTGGTTTTGTTTTTGTTGCGTTTCCAGATATGGAGCACATTTCCTCGACTGTTTGGGCTTTCACTTTGTGTCTTTGCTTTGTCCTTGCGGCCACCATATTCTGCGTACCATTTTCTCTTAACCTGATTCAGAAAGAGGTGGTTCGGAGCAGTCATTTTCCTTCCTCCTGTATGCCTCCTCATCCCCACTCCCTGCATACACGTTGCAGCAGCTCTGGACGGGGTGCAATAAAAAAAAGACGGAGCAAGTGGTAACACGGCAACAGCTGTGGTTCAGATCTCAGAGCTCTGCACTGTCAAAGATCCTTTCCCTGATTTTTTTGTCTCTTTTGTTTAATGGCTGGTTTACACCTTGATATGTTTTGTTGTTGGTGTTATTGTTGATGTGGTCAATCATAAGTCTGCTTGCCCGGCTTTCCGTAGTACAATAGTGATGGATTATTTTCAACGAAAACAAACAGGTCCTTGTTCCTTTCTAATTCTGTTTCCATTTCTCACACCCCTTCTTGCTCCCTAATTAATGGCCTGCCTGAAAATACTGAGTTACTGAGACGTGGGACCTCCGCACCTCAAACCCCACCTTCCCTCAGGAAATGTTTACACACACTAGCTCCACAGCGACTCTGCACAATAGCGCTTTTCCAAGGACACAGTGTTCACTGGAACGCACAGACTGTTCTCTGCAGACGCACTAAACTGCTCTCCTGCACACCAGTGCCAGCCACACCAAAGATACACAACGGTGTCCACATGCTTTTTTGCAGGTGAAGCATGAGTGTAAATCAGCAACAGTTTTGTTAAAGACACGTCATATATAAAAGAAACAGAAGGGCCCATACTTGGGAGCCGCAGTGCCATTCTCCTGCTCTTGCTTTGTCGTGTGGTCAACAAAAATAACAACATTTTTAGGTGTGATGCCAGAAAATGGGTCATCTTATCGTTGTTACTGCATCGGCGGGCACAGCCAAACTGTTTTCTCCAAAGTTCTTTTTAACCCAGTTTAAAGAAGTCATCAGGAACACAAGGAAAGCCAGTCGGACACATTCGTAAAGGCCTGGGGAATGACGGCCACAATGCTTAAGGCACTCCACTCCGTTCACTTAAAAAACTTCCTAAGTCACAAAAAAAGTCTCTGACCATACTTGATGAGTCATGTTTGGGCCCCTGAACTGTTGAGGGCGAGGAAGCACCGAATACCTCCATGGTGTGATGTTCAGCCATGCATTTTGAGGTGAGGCTCAGAGCAAACAGTGATGATGACTACTGCACTGCCAGGGACAGGCTTCCCCTTTTGAACAAAACCAGACGTAAAACTGAAGTTTTTTTTATTTCAGAAATGTTGGCAAAGTTACATGTTTACTTAATCACGACCGATCCCCTTCCATGTTATTTTAATGTGCAAGTGGTTTCCGTTGAGGGAGACTGAGTCTGGATCTTGAAAGCAGGAAAAAGTAGGTATTGGCCCTCTTGTATTCATGTGATCTTGGCTTTCACTTTTGCTTCATGTCAAGCACACGTAACAGCGTGGGACACGGCGCTGCACCGCTCTGCAGTTGTAGGTTTCAGCCCCAGTCAGACTTTTGCAAACCCGCCTGCTGCTGCGGAGTGCTTGGCTGGCAGCACTCTTCCTCTCATTCCTGAACTCCAGCTTATGAGGGAAACGGTTTGAGGTAAAAGCAGCAGAAAAACAAAGGTGACACGTTTGCACCTCGACTAAAGCTCCCACGCTGACAGTTGCCCGTGTGGCGGAGCTGTAGCCCCACCGCACTGTCTGTGGCGGTGTAGTCTAATGTCCTTACCTTCCTATGTGTCTGTTTCTGTCATTATTTTCCCCGTCTGCTCGAGTGCTTCTCTTAACCCCTCAGCCTCAGAGTCTCTCAGCCAGAACAGTGGCTTTGGATGTTGCCCAGTCATCTGACTGGAGTTAGCCCCTGCAACAGTCTGGGATGGCAACAGTGGCTAACCCACACACAGAGCAAGAACAATGCCTCCTTTTTGCTGACTTAAGTAGGGGCACTTTTAAAGGAGCTGCCGTTTCTGATCCTCTCCGTCAGGAGAGTGCTCCCTCAGGCCGAAATGCTGGTCACCAAAAAGCAAGAATGCCCTGTGCGTCTCGGCCCTGTGCACTTATTCTAGTTCACGTGCACGGTCACCATCAGGGTAGATTGAGTGATGTTGAGAATATAAATACATGTAGTCCAGATTCCAATAAATGATGGTGTCAGGACTACATTCCCATTTACTGTGTTTGTACTGGCATCGCTGCCTCATGAATTAGTGTGACCAGGGAGTGAACTGCTAACCTCTTAGGAGTAATGGTTGTCCCTTAACTTACCACTGCTCTTGCCAGCAACCAATGTTGGCCCAGCTGTGTCCGCAATTCATATGTATTTAAGGTTTTATTCCTTCTGCACACACACTTTTAACTTTTGTGTTTAAATTCCGTTTCGCTGCTCTCCCTCCAACCTTTCTGACATGTTGAATGTGTCAGTAGTATGAAATAATCATAGGGAAGCAGTCATGCTGTTCAGCTGGCACACATAGTTCATGCGGATTACCACCTCAAGCATGTGTGTACCGAGAAGTGATGTGTAGGAAAGAAATGAACTGGTGTATTAAAGATCATCGAAACAGATTCAGTCACCGAAGCATATCTGTGTACAGTTTTAATCAATTTTATTCTTCTCTCAGTCTGATTTGTTTGTTTACCCTCTTCAGAGAGACAGATGTGCACAGAGAAAGCGGCACTAACGTTATGAACCTTTTAAATGTGTTTTGCAGCCCAGAATGTGACGGTGGAGGAGATCCTCTCTTCCTACAAACAAGCCTGTCAGAAAGTCAACTGTAAACCCATGCCTAAAGTGCTCAAACAGATACAGGTAAGCACCGACTTCACACATCCACACACCGGGAAAGAAAATGCATCGTACCATACTGGCTACATTTGTCCTTGGTCTATTTCTTGCACTGTTAAAATAAGGAAACTGACCCCAGTGGTGAGTGTTAACAACCTTGTCATAGAAAAGTATGACAAATGAGAATGCCCGTTTCAGCTTGAAATTATGTTATTATTCAACTCCGTTTGGCAAACTGAAGACTTGATAAACCCTGAAGCCAGATGCATGTTTTTCCTCTTAGTCTCTTCAAAGATTTCACTTTTCATGAACTGCATTCCGTGGCATTGGCGACCTTGCTTTTTAGACATAAGGAGAGCATCATGCGCTGAAATGTTAAGGCGTGTCCCACGGGCTCTTCTAGTTTTTTAAAATGTGCAGTCACAGGGGGATTATCGGCCAACAGCTTCCCCTTGTAGGACTCTAGATCAAATCTGTTGTTTCACGTAGAGTTAAGACATTTTTTAGAATGCATTTGAAACATTTTTATAAATGTGACATTTTTCTATGATTTGCTGCAGAGAATTGATGTAGAACTATTGGCTGGAAGCCCCTGTTGATGTTGGCTTGTGGCTGCATCCATTGCTCACTGCGTGTGTGACATTAAAAAAAGACAACAGCCCAACTTTGATGTTGATTTTGAAGATTTTAAGATGATTTTTCTTGTTTGACTTTGTTATCCATCTGTAAATGTACTATCCATCCTTTTTCACCTCTGGTCTGTCAATACATGGTTGATGGGAATTTTTACCGGAGCATGGTCATTTATCTTTGGGGATTAGTAAAGTTAAAGAGAGTTTGGCCCTCTTCAGTCAGGGTTCTGTAATCACTCTACATAAGCTGAATCCATGGAAGGGAAGCCTCAGACTGTTTGTCTGTATATTTTTTCAGAAGTTGTGGCTTTGTGTTTGCATTGACGTACTTGCGTGTGTTGCTATTGTTAAAGTACTCATGTGCTTCCTTGTGGAGAGGTCAGTACCACTGAATGCCACATGTCCAACGTAGCCCGGAGGAGAAGAAATGGGAAAAACTTTTACCCTTTCTTAATCCTGCTGGAAACCTATACTGTAGCCGCATGATACAAAAAAGGTCAGACAGTACAGAGATTAGAAGAAAAGCAAAAGACAAGCAGGTCAAAAAGAGCCTGGGCAGTCGTAGGTTGGTCAGCTGACATTGTCGGTGTACTCGGACCATGAGATCAAATTAAGTTTACAACAGCAGCTTAGCACTGCGATGTGCATTTCCACAAGTGTCTGAGATGTTATCCCAGCGTGCACCTCTCAGCCCAACGGGCATTTGCAGATTTCTTTGCGGATTTGAATCTACTTCCAGCTGGGGCTTGCTTTCCTTAAACACTACCACTCACTGGCGAAAGATTTCCACAGCTCCTAGAGGTCAAGTGACAGGTTTACGGGGGTCGATTTGCTGCATCGACTCAGCAAACAGGAGAAAGTGATCATGCGTCTCTGCTGCAAAGGCCAGCACTGCCAACACCAACATAGCAGAAGTCCGACTTGAGGTTAATTGGTTTGAGGAAGAAGCACTCCCACGAAAAACTAAATAAATAAATAAGGCAGGAAGCAGGCTGCAATGTGTCAGAATTAACAGATTCACTGTTACGCCTTTTAAACAAACACAAAGTCCATACAGTCAGTCGGGCTCATGCGTCGTTTTAATGTTGGGAAAGTCGTGGTTTTCGCTCCTCACGACTAGAGGAGTCACTCTCTCAAACTCACAATTACACGGTCGGTTTTATTGTCACGAGGCAGAGTGATCGGTCAGTCCGCCACCGCCATCTCTCATTTCTGCTTAGTCATCTTTGCAGTAACGAGCCACATAAACAGACTTAACGTCTGGCCAGTAAGGAAAGGGCTTGCCAAGAGGTGCACAGCTCTTTACTATTTTCTCACTCGCTCTCAATGGCGTCTTTATTAGGTCCGACTGGACTGCCCACGTGGCCTTGCAGGTTATGTACCTTCTTGCCACGTGTGTGTCGACGTGTTCTGAGGGTCACTTCTTCACAGCTACGTGTTGAATGCAGGTTGCTCCGTATCCCTCACCAGAGTCTTAAAAGTTGGACTCTTTGTATCCTCTTGTGACATTTCTGCTACACTTCCCTATGTGGAAAGAGTTTTTTTTTTTAATACAATGTCTTACATGAGCATGCGGAGCACAGCTGCCCTCTTTTTACGCAGACTAGTATGAGGTAGATGTGTATATCCACACTACGCCTCTTCTTCGCATCATGCCCTCATGGTTCTCTGTCTTTGTTTTGAGTTGAAATATGATCTGTAAATGTTAAACATTTGAAACAGGTACACGTTTTGTAAATAAACTTCAGTGTTTTTGTAAACAACCTGTGTTATCAGAAGCATAAACTCATCCAAAGTTATTTACACATATTAATCAATAAATTGTTCAACTCTTTTATAAAAATGCAAATGATTTTCTTTGGTTGTCAACATATGAAATCTAGATTCGAATGACTAATCATAATGGACTTACCTCTGCTGCTCAGTGTTTTTCTCACAGCCCACAGTTAGTGAAACAGGAACCATGTAACTGCTCATTTGGAGAGTAGACACAGATCACAGGAGTTTTTTCTTATAGATCTGTTACCATAATTAACTTAGAGTTCATACCAAGTAAAATCTCCTGGCTAATATGAAATCTAAAGGATCTCTGACTACACAGCAGCAGTTTACAGTAAACGTGTGCTGTGTAACGTGCAAAAAGCATAGAGCAAGAATCACAAATGAGAGTGATCAGAAAGAGGGGCTGTGTCGTCCTCTCCCAGCACACAAACACTCATCCCACAACTCGTGTCACAATCCATTGTGCGTCATGCACTGCTTTTGGTTCTGGCAAAGCCGTCAGAGAGGAATTTACACTGATAAAGTCTTTCCAACTGACCGGTGCCCAAATTCTTTACAGGAGGAGACCGACATGTTGATGAATTGCCCAAACTGTTTATGTAGTAGGGGCCAAATCAAGTTATACAATTATTTCACAAAACGTAATTCTTTTCCATCCCTTTACCCTATCACAACACATGCTGCCGTTTAAGTATGTTAGCTTTTGTCATGTGATACAGTCATGTTAAGAGATATCAATCCACACCAGAGGCCGTGAACTCTCTGTAGCGTCATCGAATTCAGCTGTGGCAGTGAGGCAGGAGGACAGGGGTGATGGAGTTCACACTGAATGAACTGGGCAGTCACCTAGAGACAGGGATTTGCTGGTACATAGTTTTTAGGGCAGCATACTCTATGTTTTCATGTTTGCATGGATGGCTGGCATTTTCACTTGGGTAGGGGGTTTAGGTACCACCTTTCAGTTTTCGATGCCGAGGTCGAAACCACTAACAGACAATGAACAAGCGGAGCCCACATTAAGGGCGTTTAAACCATCGTTTTGTACCATTGACGTTGCTTTTAAACAGGATCTTGCACACGTTTATTGTTACCTTGCTACAAACATTTTTCACGCTCCACTTCATCACACAAACACAAACCTGGGGTAAGTCCTTGGTACATGTCTCAGGTGTCCATTCGGCGTTCGGATACCAGCTTTTTTTGTTGTTCTGCTGCACATTATAAGGTTTATCAGTGCTGAGCCGAAGGCTACCGCTCAAGCGCATCAGATATCTTATGCTGCACCTGCTTCATAGTTGTCCCTGTCAACTGGAGTAGAAGGGATTAAGCCCTTTACGTAATAGAGCGTCCTTATCAACATCCCCATCACTGGGGCTCGGGCAGCATCCCCAGCTGTCTGTTTGTGTTCAGCAAAGATCTCTGAGTTTGCTCGAGTTCTGGGGTGTATCTCCTGTACTGATTCACCCAATTACCTCTCATGTGATGGGAAAGTTTCAACATGTGATAATAAAGTTTGCCTCAATGAGGAAGCACACAAAGGGAATTCCTCCTGACTCGGTTTCTTTTTGTTTCGGCAGGAACTGAAAGACCTGACACAGCGAAACGAATGCTTAGATCTTAAAGGTAAGCATTTAAAAAAAAAAAAAAACCTGATGCACATTTAGGATGATTGTACTTAAACAGACTTTCAAATGGGGCATTTTTAACCATTTCCTAATCATTCTACAATGCAGAGCTGAACAGTGGTCAACAGACCTGTCGTGTGCTTGCCTTTAGGGGAGAAGCTGGACTACAAAACCTGCGAATCTCTAGAAGAGATTTTGAAGAGAGTCCAGTTTAAAGTGATAGACTTGGAGCAGACCAACCTGGATGAAGATGTAAGACGAATTCAAATGTTTTGCATTCATCATGGGCTGAATTTGTGCTCATGTGTTCTACATCCACTGTCACTGTGATCATCTCTGCTGTGACTGTTGACAGGATGTGGAGGGGTTTGTATGGTCTTGTCTGATTATCCCAGATGTCCGCTTGTGTAAACACCATCTGAAATGTTTTGGCTGCAGTCATGCTCAGATAGACAGCGCTGCGGTGCGCAGCGGAGGAACATCGGTCCAGACCACTTCCTGTCCGACTACAAATACAAAAAAGTCACAGGGGACACATTTATTTTAGATGAACGGTTCACTGTAATTATGATTCGTTAATTTAGTCCAGTCTACCATGGTGGTGTCACTGGTTTCGCTCTTTAACCACAGATTTAATTTAAGATCCCAGTCTCTACACTCTCTACAGCAAAAACACGATCAAAGTCCTAAACGGTCTTTTCCATTTTCCACCCATCATGCTTGTTCTATTTATATTTTATGACATGTAATGATGTCATAAATATATTCATTCCTGTCAGAACGTTTGACAGCGAAACAGCATGTGTTTCATCAGATTTTCTTAACGGAATTAAAAGTCTAATATGACTAAATACTGAAGATGTAAACGTGTATATTCTGCGTCATTAGAGGTAAAACTGTTGTCTAAAGCAATGGGAGCATTAATTCTGGAAGGTTTACATTTATATGGCATGCAGAGAGAAAATCATTTTTTTCCCACCAACTTGGAGTGTTTCTTCAGAAATCTGGATGAATGACTCAGTGGCTGAGTCACCAGAGAGCAGCGTTTCAGTCCAAAACAAGTGTCGTGCCTTGAGCTCAGTTGAAGTGAGCCTTTTGAAAAAAGAAATGATGGAGGAAGCACTGCTACTTTACAGCATTAAAGAAAAGACGGGTCGACCACAGATCAAATTGGAAAGAAAATGGGTTCAATATTATGGGAGGGGTATAAAGTAGATGTTTTGAATTGGCAGGGACTCGCATCTGCAGAAATGGCAGTTTGTTTGGAATGATTTGGGAGGATGGAAGAAAAGAAATGCTTTTTGGGGAGGTGTTTTAAGGAGCCTGTGAAGAAGAAGGGCCCAGAGAGCGCGATCACAGGCTGGCTTTTATTAGACTAAATGTGACTCATCTTCCTCCACCCTGTAGATAAACACACTTGTGTATACTGAACAACGTCTCCCACTTTTAGACACGCATACAAAAGGGGGAAGGTTAGGCGATGTTGGGCAGTTAGCTAGTTCTCTGATTTTGTTACTACTCACCAGGCTGAGAGGAAAGTCTGGATCACAGCCTGCAGCAGAATTACCATCTTTTAACACAACACCACTCACAAGCTTTTCTATCCAATAAATCTTTAGGACTAGAAGGCAAAAGTAAAAACAAAACAGGCCTCTGCATTCCAGTTTCAGCAAAAGTCCGTGTTAACTACTACAAAACTGTTCCCTGCAACTCACACAGCTCCGACCATATTTCAATAGTACTCATCAACCAACAATATATTTAATAGTTTTAGTATCTCAAAGATGGAAATACTTTACTCTGCTTATTTTATTGTACCCTTAATATCTTAGATCGTCAGTAGAACTGACCTCGTTTTTCACACGTAAAATTTTGGACCCATTAGACTGAATAATGTAGACAAGCAGCTGCGCCTCAGTTACAGTGTTAGCATCCCTCTAGAACAACGATGAGTCAGTAAAGGATGTAACATCAAATAATAAGTTGTTACAGGGCTATTTTGCTACTGAATAAAACTTTTAGTAATTGATAGCATTTTAATATGTCATGTAATGTCTTTGACAGGGCTTTGACTCCTTGACCAGCCGTGATGTGTTTCTTACGTGACATGACTGCTCACATATTTCCTCTGCGTGCGCTTCTCAGGGTGCATCAGCTCTCTTTGACATGATAGAGTACTACGAGTCGGCCACACATCTCAACATCTCCTTCAACAAGCACATTGGCACACGAGGATGGCAGGCTGCTGCTCACATGATGAGAAAGGTGAGAGCTCATCCTCCCTGCACTCAGTCGAAAAAGGGATTAGGCAAATGTATTTGTGGATCTACCAAACTGCAAGTGGGGTCAAATCTTTACAAAGAGAGTAAACTATGAATCTATAAGTTAAGAACAGTTTATTGAAATGGGAAACAAAAACATACTTTTTTCTTAAGTCACTTTAATGGACTGAAGAAAGGCATGTTTCTTTTTTCATCTGCTTTTTAAGTGATTGTTACCTCCAATGTTCTGTCCACTTTTTTTTTTTTCAATGGCTGGTTTTAGATAGCTGTTGATTATTAGTTCAGTGTTTCTTATCAGGGTTCAGGGTGTGTGAGAAAACACTTCAATATGAACAGCTGCTGCTGTTTCTTTGTTTTTTCAAACTATTGACTCAAAGGAGAAGGAACAGTACAGCTAAGTTCTACAGTTGTCTAAAAAAAAGAGGTAGAAGCATGGAAATATGAATGAAAAGGTGATAGAACATGTCACCTATCCATCAGATGGTTGATTTGTGATATTTGTTGACAATTTGGAAAGTATTGCCGGAAGAAGCATAAACCAGTCATTTTTTTAAAAAAAATATTGTTGCCCTTTTCTTTTTTTCTTTTTGGCTTATTTCTTTCATCCATACATGGGAAAAACAACGCAGTCTTTATCAGAGTTTGTAATCTACTGTCTGCAAAGTGCTATGGGGGCTACTGTAATTATACTCGCAGCTCATTTGTTGTCCGATCGGTGTTTGTGCAGTGGTGCTGTATTGGATGTTGGGTGATTAATGAAGAATTTCCTGGGGGCACTGCACACACAGAGGGTGTTTCAGTGTTTGTGTCGTTGCTCATTTCAGCAAAGCGAATAGATGGTAATCAGCTAATGTTTTGGCAAGTGCATGTCCTTGAATTACTGAAATGAGGCCTTGGATTAAAAAGACAAAAAAAGCCTTTATCTGGGCTCAAGTGTGCAAACGCATTGTCTCTGCTATGCTCACCTTATTTAATTTGTTAATAATGCTTATGTATTCGCACTGAAGTTGGTGAATACAAGTTTTGATTTAGAAATTAAGATCCAAGGCCTCAAACTCAAAGGTAGCAGCTGCAGAGGTGCATATGACAATGCCTGTGCTAGAAAAAGAAACGATAAATTAGTTTGTGCATATATATCCAATAATCTGTACTTGCATCGGTGTTTACCCCTCAGACGAGCTCTCTGCAGTATCTGGATGCCCGAAACACACCTCTGCTGGACCACTCGGCTCCTTTTGTTGCCCGAGCGCTCAGGATCAGTGGCAGCCTGGCAGTCCTCCACCTGGAGAATGCTGGCCTGTCTGGCAGGCCGCTCATGTTACTGGGTAAGGCAGGAAAAGGCCTGGGAGGCTCAGATAAGGAAGCCATCCCTACCTCAATCAGTTCTTCCACTCTTTCATCTGACTGAGCACAGAAACTTGACCCAAAAGTTCATTTCCACGTTTCTTTTATCTTTCACCGCTTTTTCTTTTCGGTCAGCTACGGCTCTAAAGATGAATATGAACCTACGAGAGTTATACCTGGCGGACAACAAGCTCAATGGCCTTCAGGACTCCGCTCAGCTTGGCAACTTGCTCAAGTTCAACTACAACATTCAGATCCTGGACCTCCGCAATAATCACATCTTAGACTCTGGTATGCAGCAGAGATGAAGCTTTGGTACACTGGAGCATATACATGCTCACTGAGATGGTCTGACTTTATCTTTTACCTGAAAGTGCTTGAGGTGCAGTTAAAGGCCTGCTCTGTCTGTGTTTGTCCTCACAGGTCTGGCCTATCTGTGTGAAGGGCTGAAAGAGCAGAGGAAAGGCCTGGTCACACTGGTACTGTGGAACAACCAGCTCACTCACAACGGCATGGGCTACATCGCTTCTGCCCTGGTAGATACACACACAAATAACACTCCTACACTTTACTGCGTGGCAGTAAACACACACACAGGCACACACACACATTCTGAGTACATCAGTGTGAAAACCAACCATTCAGCTGAAATGTTAACAGTCACTAATCCAAGCATTCAGCTCTCTGAAGCAGCAGCAGACTGCTTTAGAATGATTATCCTCATCAGAACCAGATCTGACTTTGTTTTTCATGTGTCCTGCATGCATATACAGCTGCCTGAACCTGTCCTCTGAATGGAGGCATGTGGCTAAACATGTAATTTATGCATAAGAAATTAATTAAACCAAATGTTTTGATTAAGTGAAGACAGATTGTATGGAGTGTAAATATCAAGCTGTCAGGGTAAAGCAAACAGAAAAGAAACAGTCAAAACAAAACAGGATTTATTTCAGTAATGCAGGATAAATATAGTTGGATAATGTTTGTTTCTCTAATGGAGATCCACAGCTGATCCAGGCTCTACATTCTGAATACCAAACTCAAATATATGTTACTTTCCCAGCTGCCAGGACTCTAATCATATTTTTTGTTAAGAATAAACATTCATTTCGTCTTCTCTCAGCCGTGTACCCAAAGCCTGGAGACTTTGAACCTCGGACACAATTCAGTAGGCAATGAAGGAGTACACAAACTGAAAGACGGGCTGATTGCCAACCGCTCTGTGCTCAGGCTGGGCCTGGCTTCCACCAAGCTGTCCTGTGAAGGTGGGGCCTGACATTCGCATCTGTTCTGAAGTAGACTTTCCTTCTGCTTTTTCTTTCTGACCGTCTCTTCTGTCGTTTCGGGGTATTAGGAGCTGTTGCCGTGGCCGAATTCATCGCCGAGAGCCCCAGACTGCTGCGCCTGGACCTCCGAGAGAACGAGATCAAAACAGGTGGCCTGATGGCCCTGTCGCTCGCCTTAAAGGTCAACACCTCTCTGCTGCGTCTGGACCTAGACCGGGAGCCCAAGAAAGAAACGGTGAGCATGGCTTTTATTAGTTTACTTTTTTTTTTTACTAGAATGTCCTATTCTTAACTCTTTTAAACTCTTAGATATGGATAAATTAACTTACTGCAGCTTCAAAGTGGATAAGGAAGGGTTCGCATTCTCCGTCCACTAAAAAGCGTTTGTCGTCTTTCAGGTGAAGAGCTTTATTGAGACACAGCGCAGCCTGCTCAGTGAGATCCAGGAAGGCTGCAAGAGGAATTTCATCTTTGCCAAAGAAAAAGAGGAGACGGAGCAGATGAGGCAGTCAGCCTCCATGGCTGAAATTGCCACGGAGGAGGGGACAAGGGAAGAGGAGGAGGAGGAGGAGCCAGCATCTGAAGAAGGAGCTGACAGAAATGTAACAGGAAAAGAGGAGGTAGGCGAAATGGAGGGAAGTGAGGTCCAAACAAGCAGCCAATCAGGAGCAAGCTCTGAAACAAGCGCTCTTCCAGCAAATCTGGAGTCCGACTCCGACACTGAGGACGAAGACGATGGGGAGGTGGTAACGATTTCCTGTTCTGTTTCAAAGTCCTCCACTCCCCCAAACCAGACTGCCCCTCTAACACAGCCCCCCCTCAGTGCCTCAAAAACGTCCTCACTCCCACCTGCCTCAGCCGGTGGAGGACCCAGCGCCCTCTCCGGGATCACCGTCACGGAGGGCGCTGCTCCTCCCGGAACGCCTCCGTCTCCCGGACGCTGCATCTCCGTCTCCAGCCCCGGCAGAGGGCACAAGATCTTTATGGTGACTCGGGTGGAAAGCCCCCCCGAGCAGCAGCAGCAGCCTCAGAAAAAAGCTCCCGCAGCCCCCGGCCAGACCGAGGAGGCCAAGACACAGCAAACCCCGGCCCCCCAGGCCCCGCCGGCACCTCCGGCGTCCACACAAACACAGCTGACCCCCGAGGAGGCGAAGGGGGGCTCACCTGCTCCCCCCACAGAGGAAAAACAAATGGAGGAGAGTCCTTCAGATCGGTCGGAGTCCGAACCAAAGCTTAAGCAGAACAACACACAGGAGCCGCAGTCAACAAGCCAAACCCCCGAGGACGAGACTGCCAGGACTTTAGACTCTGAAATCAAAGGTCTGCACGCACCAGCTCTGCCTTCCAGCCCCCCATCAGCACAGGCGGAGGCGTTTCAGCAACCGGAGGAGGACTCTGAGAGCCCCCAGCCCGGGCCAGTAAGCCTCACGCCTCCAGAATCTCAACAGGATCCACCCCAGACCAGTTTACCCGGTGCGGAGACGCTCGTCCAGAGCGGCCAGGCATCGGAGGAGACTCCTCCACAACCAGAGGAAACTCCTCCACAACCAGAGGACACTCTTCCACAACCAGAGGACACTCCTCCACAACCAGAGGACACTCTTCCACAACCAGAGGACACTCTTCCAC